GTAGTTGTAAGTTGAGGACTACCTGTACACACTTCTTGCATATAGTTCTTTCCCCTATCCCCATCCCTTCATCACTTTGATCAAGAATCTTATGCAACAATAGAAGTAGGACTGTGGGATATGAAATAATGCACATCACTGACAAACAAGGCCTCACAGATTTAGTCATGGGCTAATGACTAAAGGCTGAGGGCTATAATTTGGATGCTCCAGAACATTACTATAATAAACTATGCTTATTGCACCTTAAATTTTTCCTGTGGAAGCAGCTTTTATACCACTATTTGTTGTTGTTGTTGTTGTTGTTGTTGTTGTTTAAAGAAGCATTCCTGAATTTTCTGTTATTTATCAATAAGCTTTTAGTTGAAGATCTGATTTCTCAAAGAATTTGCTGTCTCTTGGTGAGATGGGAAGCAAATAAATTTAACAAATAAAAATACGCTAGGGCCACATAGATAGGTACTTTATAACAAAATTAAACATTTTTCTGTTTTTGCTTATTGGGTGGAAAGGGACTTTTCTATACTGCAGAACTCACCCTTTTTTACATCCATCAAAGGATTATAATCTACTTTTGTATCTACCTACCTACCTATATTCTGTGCTCAACTGTAGACCCATAACATCTTTTGCTGCTGTCACCATATAGCTTTCCAAATCCATCTAATTGTACTTTTCACATGGAGACATCATGGATTCAACCAGATCTCATCTCCTAAATTGTTTCACATTCAATTCAACCTTGATTTGAATACTTTGTCCCTGCTTTATTTAGCTGTAATAACTATTGTTGACTGCCCCATATTAGTAACTGTCTACTGCCCTGATCTCTGTGTCTCTGCTAAAGGCTTTACTCATTGTGGTGTTGTGTAATTTAGCCTACCTTCCAAAGCAGTAATGCTGCTGAATGCCCTTCTTGGACACTCCTTGCCCTTATTCATCCCTCAGAGTTAATTATTGCCTCTTATAGCCCTTCTGGTAGTGTTGCAGCCAATGTGACGCTGTGTTTGAGTTAGATCTGTTGGAACAAGAGTGAATTAATTGACTAAAATTGAAGAACTCGGATTAGATATAGAATTACAGTCATGGGTTAAGAAGGTAAAGGACGACAGAATTTCTGTATTTTTAATTGTACAAAAATCTTTAATTAATTGTTAATTAATAACTGTGGTTGTGATAGGTTGGTTTGTTTCAGCAAAAGTTTGTAACTCAAAAGTTCTTAGTAGAGCAAAGTCTGTATTTAAATTAGTGAAAGTGGGAAAATAGGTAGACAAGGAGAGTTCATAGGAATAATAACCCTTTTCCATTTTTACTGCAGGGTGAATAAGATCCATTGTGATTCAGCAAAGGCTAATTTTGGCTTCTTCCACATCACATTAAAGGGGACTGTCTTTTAAAATGATCAGGATCCCACTGTTGAGCCACAATGAGTCACGCGTATGGAGTAGTTGGCACTGCTAATAATGGTGGGTGGGTGGTTATTCTGTATCTGGGGAAACCCCCAAAAGCCCTATAATCCTCTGTACTCATTTCTTTTCCGATCCACTGGTATTCTGCTCATTACCAGAACAATATTTATAGCTCTGAAATCAGAGACTGCAAGTAGGGGTGAAAAGTCAAATGAAATTCTATAGAAAGTTTCACTAACAAGAGGTGAGTGAGTGCAAAATTGCGTCTTCTTCCATAAATGAGTAAGCAGCATATGACTCTGTAAGAAGACCAGCCTTCTGGTGAAGATAAGCTTTTTTTCCAACCTTCCTGTTTTATCATTGCAAAATAAATAAGAGTTCATAATTCATTCAGATGGCAAAAGAAAACCAAAACCAAGCTGGACCAGGTTTGGATAAAAGAAATATTTTCCCTTATATTTCCCAGTCAAAGATAAACACATGTTATTATTTTATTCATCTTTCTTAAAATTTACAGTGTGAAACATTTTAAATTTATTAATAACAAAAGATTTACGGTAATTTCTCGGAAATTAAACTCATTCCATCAAAATATGTTGCCTGACATTTAGTTGTCTCTGATATTACTGTATCACAATATACTAGTTCTATTACTTAATAATAATAAAATATTTAGTTCCAAATTTTGGATCATCCAGAAGTACACGTAGTGTATAATAACCCTGAAGAACCTCTGTTTAGTTCACTTCATGATATCAATCATAGGTAGAGGACTTGATGATTCAGTGCCAGAGGATGGGAAAACTCAAGAATTCACCAATTTTAACAGATATTTTACCAGTTCAAGTGGTCCTCATATAGTGACTACAATTGGAACTGGTAACTTGGTCATTAAATAACTCTGTCACTAAGTAAAATCACAGCTGTGCTCATGATCTTACAGCAGTTTTTCTTTGCTTTACAGATAGTGAAGGCTGTATGGTAAATTCTAGGATTGGTCGCAAAGTTACTTTAATCATCATTATAACTATGAATAATTGCTAAACAAGGCAGTTGCTAAATCAGGATCCTTCGTATTGCACAGTATTACAGAATGTTTTCCAGTGACTGACAGTCTATCTCTTTCTGTTATTTTGTTACTGCTCTAAGATATTTTAAATCTCAAGTAGCCCAATTTTGATAAAGATACCATGAATGGCTAAGGTAAGATTTAGCTCCCATCCAATAGCCAATATCTTTCTGGGCCTATTACAGTAAGCCAGGAAGAAACCGATGGGGCAAATTTGGTAACCCCATTTCTGTGCTAGACTAGTCTCCCATATAAGTGCCAGTATCAGAAGAAAAGCTAACATAGTTTAATTCTCTTTTCTGAATTTAGACATGGAAAGTCTAGAACAAGCTAAGAGAATCAACAGTTAAATTTGGTAAATAAGGAATGGTTGGAGTGTTTCATTTTCATGTGTCCAATATCCTGAGTTCATGCAACTAGAACTGACTTTTCTTGGCAATATCACACAAACATAATCCTTCTATTGTAGTGCATAAGAGTGCACTGCTCGGATGCTTGTACAAAAAAGAATCCTTCTGTCCTTGGTAGAATTAATCTAGTTCTACGCTATTGTCTTTGTAGAAGGCAGAATAGAAATAAACTTTTAATAATTTATATTTTCAGTATTTGATAACTATGAATGTATAGTATAAGAGCTGTGGTGGCACAGTGGTTAGAATGCAGTATTGCAGGCTAATTCTGCATTCTAGTTCGAGTCTCACTGGCTCAAGCCTTCAGTCCTTCCAAGATTGGTAAAATGAGGACCCAAATTGTTGGGGGCAATATGCTGACTCTAAACCACTTAGAGGTGGGTGTAAGGCACTGTGAATCAGTATATAAGTCTAAGCGCTATTGCTATTCTGTATTCAAACTGGAAGACCTCTGAAAAGAAAAAATGGATGAATAAAAAGTTGGGCATGGTAAATTCTGTGTCAGCTGCAGTATTAGCCAGATGAGAGATTAAATCACAGTAGCTACGGAATTGAGGCACTTTTGTTCTAATTAAAATACTCCATTTGGAATGCCATTATATTCGACTAAATTTATGGAGAGTTTTTATTCTTATATTGCTCATACATTGCTGAAATATCCATCCTAAGATATATGCTACCAGTCCAATGATAGGTACATATTTTCTGGATCTTGAAGTCTGCTTACAAATTCCTGCTTACGTGCTAATGTAAGAAGTTGGATTCTTTTGAGGTAAAGACTATCATATATAGAGTAACCTTTTTCCTTCTGTCAGAGGAATGGAATCTTTCTGCTTTGCGTTAATTATATAAATTTTCCCTTATTGTCAGCCTTACTTTTTGATAAAATCGAAAGCTTTGACTGATTTTTATCAGTGCAGCAATCTTTGTTCTGGGGCATGTGCATGCGCACACGCGCGCACACACACACACACACACACACACACACACATTCATTCTCTTTCAGTTTTGTTATTTATCACTTTATTTGCATATAGACACATTTACTATCATTTTAGAATCATTTTCCTTTATATTTTGGTAGTTTAATTCGAGCACATTTCCTGATGCTCGCTGTAACAATTGCAGGGTAGGAATGCCACCTGTATAACAATAGTTCTATTGGTTCTCCAGTCTCCATTGTGTAGACTTTGTATGCAAAACCCATTCATGACTAGACAACTGATGTATTTTAGATCACTTGGGTCAATTTACGTTATTTGCATAACTATGCAATTGCCAGCTTTATGTCATGTGCTTCAATTTATTTCATAATGCAAATGATACAAACTATCAATTTTGTAATTACACAATCTAAATTAACACCAATGATGTAAATTTGGGTTTAATTGACATTTAACTGATGTACATTTGGCTTTAACTAACACTAATGATGGACATTTGGGTTTAACTGATATTTGGGAGAAAGGCACTCGTTTCTATTGCTTCTTGAACTTTGAATTTACTGTCAATACAAATTTAGCAATCAATCCAAATGGCAGCAAGAAACAAAATGCATAGCATCTAGCAACATTTTAGTTTCCTGGAATATTTATTTTTTTCTTACACACTAGAAAGCTAATTGGTATTACTTAAAATGTCCTTATGGCCTGCAGCTCTGCTTTCTGTATGCAAAGCCTAGGAAATAAATGAAAACCTGCTCTTATAGAAACATTAATATAGGACTATTGGCATATGGCTGATGAACTGGGATTTGTGATTAAGACAGACAAAGTGCTCCTTTGGGTCAGTTTCCTCCATAATACTATATGAAGTAGCTCTCAGCTAGCAGTGAGAAAATTTCTGGTTGAAAGAGACTCAAGAACAGAGGCAACATTCAGAACTGGAGTTCAAAGCAGAAATGTGAATTCCTCATTCCACATTAAAAAGATGACCCTCCCCAATAAAATACATTGCAGTTATGCAACAGTAAGAAATGTGATGCTCGCCAAATGTTGTTCAACTACAGCTCTCAATTTCCTTTGCTATTTTAGGGTTGCTGGGGAAAAGCTTGCTGAGTCACTACAGCAATACACATCTCATTCATTCTCAGTCTTTTTTTTTTAATTTCAGCTATGCATTGAATTCATCAAAGACACGCTAAACGTGAACCAAGCATGTGAGGCCTTTCAGGTAAGTAGTGATATTCCCAAGCTTGACCATATGTCAGTCCCTGAATCGCTTAAAGGATAGAAGCAGGAGATGTTTCTCAGAAAACGAATGCTACAGACATTGACAGCTATCTAATTCTATACAGAGTCCTTGTTGTTAGGCTGAATTCAAATATATGCAATGCCTTAATTGGCAAAACACATGAAATCAGTTGTGTCGATTGTAAACAGACAGCAGTGGTGGAAGTCTTCATCATCAACTACCTATGTTGAGCAACTGGTATGGAAAGACTAGCACTAGCAAACTTTCAATTAATCACCTTTCCTGATAAGCCATGATGAGTAGGCATTGCCTCCATCCTACCAGTTGGATGGGGATAGAGAATAATGTTGAAATGTGTTGATAAGTGGATTAGCAGACAAACAAGCAAGCAAATACTGTTGGAAGAAAAAATGCTGTAAGACAGATTTGTTTACTTAATAGTGAGGCCTTATGGCAGGGGTGTCCAAACTTGGGGATTTTAAGACTTGTGGACTTCAACTCCCAGAATTCCACAGCCAGCATGGCTGGCTGGGGAATTCTGAGAATTGAAGTCCATAAGTCTTAAAGTTCCCAAGTTTGGACACCCCTGCCTTATGGTATGAACCAGAAGCTTGAATTGCCCCCAGAATTCAACTGACAACTATTACAGTTCACAAAACAGGGAATGCCAGGGCATGCTCAATGCTATTTGTGTCACTGCATTCTGGACCAGCCTCACCTTCCAAGAGGACTTTCACATAATCCCATATAGAATGCATTGCAATAATCCACATATAGGATGACTGAGGCATGAGTGTCAGTCTGGAGGGCTTCTTGGCCCAGGAATGGAAGCAGCTGGTTTATAGGATGAAGCTGTGCAAACCCTCTAGATTTCCTAGCACTAGCTATTAATTGCTCTTCAAGGAGGAGCTGCAAGTCTAGGAATGTCTCCAAATTGTGTACTAATCCTGAATAGGGAAGAGCAGCCCTATTAACAACTGAAAAGCCTTGGTGTTGCAGGGGTTAGAATGCAGTATTGCAGGCCTAAGGGGACTCATGGTTAACCCAGCCTTCCATCTTTCCGAGGTCAGTAAAATGAGGACCAGATTGTTGAGGGCAATATGCTGGCAGTGTATACCACCCAGAGAGTGCTGTAAAGCATTATGGGCTGTTATATAAGTCTAAGTGCTATGGCTAAAAATGGACATTCTTCAAAATCAGGTAGTATCCAGTTTCTTGGTATTGCTAAGGCCAAATTTGAATCTGTTTCTTCCCAGACTGTTTATAGTCTCCAGCCATTTGGGACAATAATTGAATCATTATACAAAGACTAGATACTGGAATGGAATGGAACTAAACCAGGGGTGGGCTTCAAACATTTCAGCAACGGGTTCTCTGTCTGGTTGCTGGGTGGGTGTGGCCTAGTCGACCCCATTTCCGGCCTTCTGGAACTTCCGGGAGGCCCGTTTTTCTCCCTCCCCAAGCCTTCACGTGGGCCCGGCACTTACCTTGCATCCAAATGGGCTGCCTGGAGATTCCTGGGAGGGGCGTGGTGGGAGGAGCCAACCAGGGGAGGGATTTGGAGGTTCTCTGAACTGGCCATAACATTAGCTATGGGTTCTCCCGAACCCAGGCAAACCTGTAGCAGCCCACCCCTGAACTAAACAGAGGACACTTTTGCTTTCTGGTAAATGAGTCTCTTTACCAGAAGAGTCATGACGTGTTTCTCCGGGTTTGGACAAAACAAATAACAAATACTCTTAATATAGCTATTACAGTTTAAATTCTGAGATGAAAAAAAACTGAATTGTTGGAAAAGCAACTAGAAACCCATTACTGCTGCAATTTTCAATATTGCAAAAAGGGATTTTCCAATTCAGGGGGAAGGAACATATAGCCTCTCTCACATGTCTGCTCCCTTCCTAACGTCTGTTCTATTCTGCATTGAAAGCCAATCGTGAAATTTTGCTCTCTTTGAACTCCCCCCCCCCCCGCCCCGAGATCTTTTTAAGGGATATTACAAAGTACCCCACTGTGGCAAAGGTTAGGTACTGCAAGCCCTTCAACACCAAAGGACATTTATCCTGGCTGATTTCATACTAGTTGACATGCAGAAACCATATTCAGAAAGTGAAATATAAGAGTAACCATTATGCCAAAGGTTGGCAGCTTTCAACATTTCCCTAAGCCAGAGATCAAACACAGAATACAATGATTCCTGTTATGTTTAGTTTTGGTTGCTTTACTTTGCTTCTGTTTGCATTGGTTTGTTCTGTGTCACTTTGTGAAAGTTAACAGGATGTGCCACATGATGTAGTGCAGCCATTTCTGTGTTGTTTATGTAGGCTCAGTTCAATAGTACATATTATGTATGTGTTGGTGGCAGGAGGATGAAAAACTTTGCTGTAACAAAAGGTGCTATGCTCATTTTGAGGCTCTTCAACATGGTCCAGTTATTTTGTTCTTACCAGCAATGTCAGCAGTATAAAACTTGCTGCCTCCAACGATGAGCCCAATTCTGCTACAAGCATAATGTTGGCAAATGATGGTGCCTTTGTTTGTGGTGTACAAGACACAGTTGATGGATTGCATTGCCCCCACACACACCCCTCAAAGTCATCAGCTGGTGGAAGAATCATCCTCCATTATAGGAATAAAGATGGAGGAGGTCAGTTATGAAAAAGAGGCAGCTAGCAGGTTTAGCCTTCTTTCAAAATGTGCTGATTTTGTACAAATACTCAGGTTTGTTCAAAGAGAGCCTCACCATCAGCTCATGGTTCAGCTCCTTTTGGACACAAATTTATGGCTATTCCAGAATAGTTCATTCAGAAATTATGCTAATCTTATGTTCAAAAAAGCATGAGATCCATTCTGTATTCAAAAGAAGTCTGTATGACAGTTGACAACAGAAGAGAGATATTTCACTGTGCAGATTCACTGTGTAGCTTCACTGCTCTCATCATGGTAGATTTTCAATGTTTTCCAAATAATCTAGGTCTCCAAGACCAGATGGGCACAGGAGAAAACCCAGTTTGAAAGAGCCCTGGAAGATAATCTCCAGGAACTAGAGGGCATGTCTGCTCCAGTGTCAGGTGGCCAATAGATTCTGGATTAATTTTCTATTGATAAAATAATCTGATTAAATAAATCTGTAGTGCTACTTTCCAGATCTGGTTTAAAGTGATTATTAGCATACACAGCTTTGTGTTATGTTGGACAGCTGGTGTCACAAATTGAGAGCCTTCTGGACCTTATTTCTAGTTGTGTTGCAGCGATGCCCAGCTGTGCTAGGAAAACACTACTGTAATATAATAGTTATGAAGAAATTGCAAACACAAGTGTTCTAAGATGCAGCCTTGAATCACAGCCATGTGATTCATATTCCATGTGCTCCTGAATCTGTATTTCAAATACGCCCACATTCCATGCTTGTGACAGAGACCTAGGATTTCTGTAACTATACAGTTTTCCCATCAGCGTTAACCATGTCATGTTATAAAACTCATAAAACACAAGTAGTGACTAGATATGCTAGTCTATTTCTCACATTCCTACATTAATACATAATCATCCAGGGTAAAATTACAGGGGAATTCTGTTTCGGATGTGAAAAGCCAATTATCCTTCTCAGAAAGAGGTTCTGGTTTCAATTCTGCTGATCCTGTTCTCAAAGAATGATTTCCTCTGCTAAATTTGGAACTAAGAATTTACAATGAAGTCTTTTTGTATGGTTAATTTCTGTTCCTCGCTTATCAAATATCAGCCTCCTTTAAAGCTTTCAATGCAGATACCTTTATCTGTACCGGTATGTCTGCATGCACCTGTGAATTAATTTTTAAATATATTTTATATATTGTACAAATTTATAATCTGTTAATAAACTTCCTTGGGGAGTTTACAAAAATTAAAATGCAAATAAAAAATCTAGTTGAAAAAAAAAACCACGCCGTATCTTGTGTCTCCAGAGGCATTCTTTGTTGCTATAATTTTCTCAAAAAAAAAAAAAACCTTTTGTGAAATACTGGAACTAAAGCTGGTTAATTGCCTTTTATTTTTAGTGTTGTTATTTTTAAATGGGCCTAACGGATATCTCTGTACCCTAAGGAGTATAGTGATCATAGAGAGGAAATCCTTCATTCCTTTCAATACCGCCACTCATTCACCCTAATTGAGTTTCATTGCTCTAACAGCATCATTATGACACCTATCATTTGTTGGGGTGGGGTTTAATGAGAAATGAGCACAGCTGCAGTTCCTATACTGTAATTAACCTCCATCCTAGCTGAATACTATTAGCGTATATATTGCTTTTTCCTATGTCTTTAAGTAAGTGATATCATAGGCTAAAGTACAGTACACAGGTTACTTCAAATTACTCAATACATAAAACTATGTTTTTCCTCCCAACCAGATATGGGGTGGAAAAGCTGCCGTCCCTTTTTATGACTTTCTGAAGTATTAACTAGGCTGCTAAAAACTAATGGCACAGTTTCTCATTATCTTCTTGTTGGAAACAGAGGAGCAGTATTGGAAAAGCTGTAAAATAGGCATATCAGAATGAAAATAGGAAAGAAACTCAAACTCCCCCATTAACAAAATTCAGACCTGCCCCCACTCCAACCTTGAACCAATGAGACTCGAACTGAGAAACTGCTTTGCAAGGTTTAGCATTCCCTAGTTAATTGCTACTCTTGACCACCAAAGATGGCCTAGGCCTGCATTATGACTTGTTTTTTTTTTCCATCAGGATCATTACACAGTAGAGGTAGTCTTCAACTTACAACTAGTTGCTTAGCAACCATTCAAAGTTAGAATGGACTCCCCAAAAAGTACTTGCAAGCCAGATTCAAAGTTCCAATGGCCCCTCCCCCTTCCCCATGGTCATGTGCTTGCATTTTGGGCACTCGACAGCTGGTCTGCATTTACAGCCATTTGTAGTGTCCCATAGTCATATGAGTTATGATGTTTTGGGCTGGAAACTGGTGCTTTCTTCCGGTTTACAACAAAAAAGGGCCAATTGCAGACAATGGATTCACTTATTGATCAGGGCATTCTGTAATGACCACTGCAAAAAATTATGGTAAAATTGGGTTGGTCATGTGATGACCCCCTTAACAACCTGCATGATTTCCAGGTTCAGTTATGTAAGCCAAGGACTATCTATAGACAATACTGCCTAACCTTTATATTGTATTTGTATTGCTTCATTATTGGGATCACATTTATATAATATGAGGCCTTAGAATAGTGTGCAGTCCCTGAAAACCTTGGTACAGTTTCCAGCAGCCTTCATTCCAGAATTTCTGGCTGAAATTACTTTAGGTAAAATATTCAGAGCGTGGTTTCTAGAACTCTGTACATAGCTTTCGAGCAGCTTTGCACATGCGATGATGATGAGGGAGGGCATATAGAATGGAAGCAGGGGTGACTTCAAAAATTTTATCAAGGGGTTCTCTGCCCAGTTGCTGGGTGGGCGTGGCCATGGTGGGAATGGCCTAGTCGGCCTCCTACATCATGGCGTGTGTGTGTGTTTTTGCCCTCCCCAGGCTCCGGAGACTTTTGCTCGAGCCTCCAGGAGGGTGAAAACGGCCTCCCCAGGCTCCAGAGGCCCTCTGGAGGCTGGAAACAGGCCCCTTTCTGGCTTTCCTGAACTTCCGGGAGGCCCGTTTTTTACCCTCCCCATGCCTCCGCAGGCACCCTGCCCTTACCTGCATCTAAAACAGGCTGTGTGGGGTCTCCAGGACAGGGTGGGTGGTGCCAGACAGGAATGGGATTTGGGGGTTCTCCGAACTGCACAGAATCTTAGCTATAGGTTCTCCCGAACCCCTGCGAACCCCTAGCAGCCCACCCCTGGAATGAAACCTTGGCAACCCTCTGAGCCACAGCCCATCTGTTTCTTCCATAGGGATACATTGGGGATTTTTTCCTACATTTTTTTCCTATGCAATTTATGGCTTGATCCAGCCCATTTTAAAAGCATTATTTATTTTGCCTTCTTCTCTTCCAACATCAAAGGTGATCCTGTTCTGTTGCGTTCTTGGAACATTATTATTCTACTGATGAACAGTCCAGAGAATTTCATGTAATTTCTTTTCAACATTCTGAATTTGATGCATTGAAGTCCCCACCAGAGGTGGTATTCTGCCTGTTCTGAACTGTTCGCCTGAACCGGTAGCGGAAATTGCAGGTGGCTCCACTACCTGCCCTGGCTCTATGGCATCCCATTTAGGCCATTTTTTTAAGGCAAAGCACATGCGCGGAAGGTAGAGTGCATGCGCAGATGTACGTGCTCATATTTGCGAACCGGTAGGGAAGGGAAGGGAATACCGCCCCTGGTCCACACATCTTAAAGTTGCTGAGATTGGGAAACACTGGTATGGTGTAACACATAGTAGCCTCTTTCATACTCACATTCAGATTAGCTTCTTTAGTGACTCACAGACCTGTGTAGGTACCGGGGAGATTTGTGAGTAATTCAGGAGCAGGGAATGAAAGTAGAGGTTAGTGCTGCGGGCTCACAGGTGCATTCTTTCTTGTTTTCTGCAAAAAGAACCACTCATATGGAAAAACCTCTGTATGTAATTGATGAACTTTGTGGTATCATGCTGGTGTTTGCTAAACCCTCCCTTTGTGCCTCGGAGGCACACCCACACATTTAAAAATGAATTCCCCCTTTTGTCTTTTCCATAACCGCCAAGCAGTATTTCCTTTATTTGTTTGTCAAGTGATGCGTATTTATTAATATATACATCACTTGGTTAGCCCACTTTGCAAATCAGAGGAGGACAGACTGGAGTCACTGAAAACCATGGTCTGTGTTTTTTTTTTGAGGACATATAGATACCAAATCAAGGTACAAAAACAACACAGCTGTGGTCAGGTGTCTTTTGCATGAGGCTTGGTATTTACTGTTTTTGAAGCCATTGTGAGTTGCATGCTTACCCTATGTGGGACTGGTGTATCCTGAGTTCAACTGGCAAGATAATGTGGTTTGCCACAATCACATTGTTTTCACACATCTATTCTGTAACAGAAATGGTTTGTATCTTGCAGGCTGCCTATTTTATTCTTTTTCACTCCCAGCTGCAGTTCTGCTTACTGAACCTGGAATATGTCAGAAAAAACAATAGTTTTATTCTGATGGGGAGCAGTAGAGCAAGGAAAGAGAGATGTAAAGATGTCACATGGAGACTGAAACCCCATTCAGTCTAGGCATAAGATAGCTACTCTCCATACTTTCAAAATGAACTCAGCATTACATCCAGAGATATTTCCATTACTCTAGAGAATCCAAAGCAAGCACCATTGACTTTTTTTTTTAAAGCTGGGGATGCACTTAAAAAGAAAACCAAATATTCGATCTCCAGGGGTAACAGAAACATGTCTGGTGATAAAGTACTATTGTCAGTAGTTGAGGTTGAACATTTTCTGCCTTTTTTCAATCCAGACAGTGACAAGTTGACAATAGGACAAAAATGGCATTTTTAAAAAATGCATAATTTTACTGCCAGTTTTGTCAGTGCAATCTAAATACCAGGTAATGAAATTTGAGAGCCACGTGGCATATATAATGCAATTTGTATTTTCAGATAATGGTCAGAGAATAAATTCCATAGCTGTTTGTTGGGATGCAATTTGCAGATTTTGCCTTTAGAAATAGTTTGATTTGAAATTTCTTTCATAAAAGGAACAAAAATATTTATTGTTGTTAGTTTCAAAGTCGTGTCCAACCCATCGCAACCCCATGGACAACATTCCTCCAGGCCTTCCTGTCCTCTACAAACAGATAAGCTCTAAAGGATGCTCCCCCAAGCCTGCTGACAAAACTATATATTCAGTGCCTTGTGGAAAAGCAACAGTGTGGGGCGAGTCTTATCTGAGGGGAGTGATGTTTCAAAGGGAGAGAGCCACTACATAGAAGGCCCTTTTTCTACATCTAGATGTACAGTACCTACCTGTTGTGGGACTTGCAACATGCCCTGTCTTCCTGCTCTGGTGGCCCAGTTACGGGTAGATGTAATTGAGGAGAGACCAAATGATACCAACCAGGAACTAGATATTATAAAAAAGAAAAGTGGAATAGGAAAATGCAGAGACTTTAAATGACTGCAAAATTATCTGTCTCCTTATATAGAATTGCTAAAGATTACAATATCTAATCGTTCACCCATGAAAAGACCCTGAAATGTTGGAATAAATATTTGATTTATTTTACTCTAGCCCACAATAGTGCCCTTCAAAAATATAGGTGATAAATGCAGTTGTATCCACTGTAGTCATTTTATCCATTTTTTTTAAATTCTTACTCTCTTTGTGACAGGCAGCAGTGGCATATGGACTACTAGATTTGCAAACATATTGCTTGGCCTTCATTGAGAATTATACTCAGGTAAGAAGATGTAGATATTGAGATGACATGCAGAAAGGAGGCCCAATACAATGTTTCCTATTCTAACCTGGAGACCCTGGAGAATGAAGAGAATTATATTAAATCAATGTAATTTTCTTTCCTATTGGACCATGGGTATATATGTACAGTTGTATGAATGTATGTATCAATATATGTATGTATGCATTTAATTAATATGGCCACTCACCTCACAGCAATGACTCTGGGTGGTGCATAACAATTAAAAACCCAGCAGTTATAAACAATAGCCCAAATAATACATTGGACCCATTATATAAAATAAACTTTCTTACATGCTGAAACTCTCTGTACTGTTATATAGGGCTTCCAGACATTTTCCTATACAAACAATAGGCATTGCACCCAGATTTGGCAATGCTATTATGTCTTCAGCTTTCAGAATGAGTTGTACAACCATTGTACATCAGTAGTATTCAAGATTTGATCATCTTTCTACCTCAAAAAACCTTTTTTGTTCCATGGTACAATAGGAAATGGTGGCAGCTGAGTTTAGAAATTATGTTGGTGAGTAATATAATGGGGAACTGGATTGCCTTAACACTCTATTTTTTTCCACAGGGTCTTCATCTTTATCTGAAGTTCTTTATCCTCATATTCTGTATCTCAGAGGTATACCATCTTTTTTTCTCCATAGGAGGTGACACAAACACGTGGGTTCTTGGAACTTTCAGAACAGGCAATGCAAATTATTTTGCAGAGTGACTGTTTGGCTATTGACGAGATGAAGCTGATCCATGCTGTACGAGAATGGGCTCATGTTGGGTCTGTAAGTACTGATATCTTAGATGGGGGAGAGAGATGACCCAAGCTTTAAGGTTTTTTTTAAAAATAAGCTTCACAGAGCTAGAGATAATCCTCCTCAAATATGTAACAGTAGTCAGTGATAAAACAATATTATGATAACGATAGACTTGTCAAAATAACAGCAGGGATATCATTGAATAAAAATAGCACAAGATAATAATAAAGTAGAAGGAGAATAAAAAACTAATAATCTTGTAATTCCTGAAAAAGTATACTAGAATAGCTATTTATATAATGTGTTTCCCTGAAAATAAGACAGGGTCTTATTTTCTTTTGCCCCCGAAATAAGCACTTGGCTTTATTTTCGGGGAGGTCTTATTATTTTTGTGGTGCTGGAGGTGACAAGTGTGGTCACCTCATGGCTGCTGCTGTGTTGCAATATTTTTGGGAGGGCTTATTTTTTGGGGGAGGGCTTATTTTTTGGGACGGGCTTATTTTTTGGGATGGGCTTATTTTAGTGCATGCATTCAAAAGCCCGATTGGGCTTATTATCCAGGGAGGTCTTATTTTCAGGGAAACAGGGTAGTTGCTTTGAACTTCATTATTGAGCTGAGAAATGACAGGTATGATAGCCAACAACAATTCTGTTTTATTTTTATTTTATTATTTTGTTTTGTTTTATTTTTTATATATATTTTATTTTATTATTTTTATTATTATTTATTATTATTATTCTTTTCCCATCTTTGTTATTTAAAGCCATACTAACCTGTGCTGGCCCTGTACTCACTCCCTGCAGGCTGTGCTTGATAGGACTGTACATGACATGGCACAACCTGTGGTGCCACAGCTCCGTCTGGCTCTGCTGTCCCCAAGGGAACTGACCTCTCTGGAAGAACAGAACAAAAAAGACCAGATGATTCCGGTGAGGGTGGCTATCAGCCTCTGTGTAGGTGAATTAACTCACACAGGATAGGGCCTCCGGTGGCCTCATCCATTTGATTGAAAATTCTATTTTAGAATATCCATCAAAGGATTTTTTGAAATACCACACTCCACCAAAACAGATGGCGGCAGCAGAATGGTAGAAATTGATAGAGCTGTTGCCACCTGTGTCAGACTTACTGTGTTCTCAAAAGTTGTACCAAAATCTGATCATATTTGGGAAGGATGTGTTTGTAAAAAGCTGTTATATATTTATGTGAACCATTTATTAGGAAAACTGCATAAAGAAAAGAGAGAGAAAAGACGTTAAAAATCCATGTTATAGTTAGTAACTGCAAATTTGGCCGATTATTTTAAAAAATAATCACACTGATGAATTAAATAAAACAAATCGGTTAAATTTGAACCCCCACTGATCTGTTCAGTCTTGCTTAGAAAAGCCAAAGCATAGCACAAGTACGAACAAATTTCAAGCAAAACATATTAAGAGCATACTGGCTGAACAGTCCACTGGAATGAGACAGGTTCTGTTGCCATAATAGATTGCTTAACAACATTTTGTGGGATGTGAGTGTGTGTGTTTGTGTGTGTGTGCGCGCGCGCGCATGCATGCAACAGGAAGGATTCAATGGATTAATCTCAGAGCCGATATGTCTGGCTTGCCACCCACTGAACAGGAACAATTCAAACTACAATCCTTTGTGGCATATCCCAGTTGTAAATAAGTAATGCCAACATTGCAGGGAAAGGCTTTAGTGACTAGGAAAAGTATAACTAGTAATTGGCAGGGGACAGCCTCTCTGCCTTTGAGAAGAGAGAAAGAGATGCATCCATTTCCCATGGCACCTCTGTAACTTATTCTGAATGTGTTACCTATTAAGTTCCATTCCTACACAGCATGGGTTCAAATATTCTGTAACTCTTTTGCCCCCTCCTAGGTAGAGAGTTTTGCTGAGGCCTGGAAAACCCATGCTCTGTGGAAGAGGCGTGGGATGCAATCCTCCTTGTGCCAGCGCCGGCATGGCACATTGCCTCGAGTCCATCATCGCTACCTTGACCCACAGCATAAGTGACATGGTATCCTTGGGATGAGGAGGAGGAAGCAATACTTTTGTGCCCAGCCAAGGGCCAGTTTGGTCTAGTGATTAAGTCACCAGGCTAGAGACCAGATCTAGTCCTGCCTTAGGCATGAAAGCCAACTGGGTGACTTTGGGTCAATCACCAGGAGACAAGTGAGTTCTAGTCCTGCCTTAGGCATGAAAGCCAACTGGGTGACTTTGGGTCAATCACTCTCTCAGTCCAACCCACCTCACAGGGTTGTTGCTATTGAGGGGAAAATAGGAGGAGGAAGCAGGGGTGGGCTTCAAAAATTTCAGCAATGGGTTCTCTGCCCGGTTGCTGGGTGGGTGTGGCCATGGTGGGCGTGGCCTAGTCAGCCTCTTCCACCATGGTGTGGGGGCATTTTAACCTTCCCAAGGCTCTGAAGGCTGTCCTTGAGTCTCTGGGAGGGCAAAAACTGCCTCTCCCAGACTTCGGAGGCCCTCTGGAACATCCAAGAGGCCCGTTTTCCCCCCTCCCCAAGCCTCTGCACGGACTCTGCACTTATCTCACATCCAAAACTGGCTGCGTAGAGACTCCTGGGAGGGATGGGGTGAGAGGGGTGGAGGTGGGAGGGGTGGGGTGGGCAGGGCCACAAAGGGTGGGATTTAGAGGTTCTCTGAACCAGCCATAACGTTAGCTGCAGGTTCTCCTGAACCCGGGCGAACCTGTAGCAGCCCACCCCTAAGTGGAAGGAGTATTAGATATGATCACAGCCTTGATTACTTATTTTTTTAAAAAACCTTTCTTTGATATGGGCTGCTGCTTTTGGTTTTCCCTTGGATGCTGTATGTACATAATCGGGTTGAGATTTTTTTTTGGGGGGGGGTGACCTCCTCCCCTTTGTATTATTTTCCAGGCTGCTCCTTCCAGGCAAGATGAACATTTTTTTTAAAGAGCTTTTAATCATCAAGGAAACTTTTCAGCTTTGTGGCCATTCCTTGTATTAATTCCTCTACTTGAACCCATTTGCCTCCATTTGCTACTAAAGATGGCCACTGCCTTGTCTTCCTATTTCTTCTGTTCCTTTGGAGCAAATAGTTGTAATCCAATCATAGGACCCATCCCACCAGCTCTTTGTTGTATCTATTAAATATTTGCCTTCCTGTCTGAAGATCACTGTACAAACCTTTTGCAAACAGATGCCTAACATTAGCCGAAAATGCCTGACCTCTTGACTACTGCCCTTACCCTTTATAGAAATATTTTTAATATGGACCCTTTTGTGTGTAACATCTAATGGTTCACATAAGCAGCACTAATAGAAATCTATTGATTTATCATTCTATGTGAGTTTTCTTTTTAAAGACCAATTTTTTTTTAATGTGTCAGATTACAAACAACTTCCTTGCTGCATTGTCTCTTACAAACAGCTTTGTAGCGATGTGCATACTGGTGGGTCAAGGTAACCTGGCTAAGTAAATTACTTGCCCCACCAGTGTGCATTAAGAATTCAAAGTGAATCAGATCTGACTGTACTGCGGCTATTAAAATAATGTATCTGCTGTTCCAATCAGGTAAATGCCAGATACCCAGGCAGCTTTAGATCTAAGCCCTGCCTAGATTTTTTTTGTTTGAGTGCCTGGTTGCTAGGTAGGTCAATGACTTGGAGAATACAGAAGAAACCTCTCCTTCACCCTGTTGCAATATATTAAATCACCTGGTTCAGGCACTGCTAATATCAGCTTCTCCTGTGTGTGAAAATGAGAGTGGGAGTAAGATTAGCCAATAGTGCATGGATAATGCAGTTATGATCTAAAATAGCAAATATTTTGCTAACAAGTAAACCAAGATCCACATTTGATGTCTATTGTGTGATTTCTAAAAATGGTAAATGTAATTGTTTACAAGGCAGAGGGGTTTAGAATAGACTGGTGATATTAAGGAAGATGTAATAATCCCCTTTCCACTTCTAGGTTGCTACTGCCTTATGGGGTTAAATACTACATTTTGGGTCTTGCCATGAACCGAATTCCAATTACCCTGTCTCCTTGGCTTTATTTGCCATTTTGGAAGTAGATAGAAGATTCCTATTATGCTGTGATATTTTAAAGGACCTGTGTTTAATTCTCAAAGCAAACCTTAACAAATGCATTATTTAAAAAGCTAGGAAGACATCTTTCAAACACTGAAAATATTTGAAACTACAGCAAAAAGTATAGAATAGCTTCCTATAGCTATTCAGAAATAAGTCCCTTTATTAATAGATCACGTCTGTTCTAATAGAATATTCTCTGGTTGCCCAGCTGTACCCTTTCATTTATTCAAGTGGAAAATCCATTGAATTAATACATGTGCTCCCATATTGTAGTTTCTTACGTCAATTTTGCAAGTCAGAGTACATTTGAATTTGATTTTCCTATGTGTTCTGTTTTTAATTAACACTATAATGGATTAGGTGATTCCATGGGTAGGAGATTTTATCCCTTCTACTCTCTCAACTACTTCTTCCCGAGTCTTGTTCCTCAGATTAGTTGGCTTATAACAAACAGCCTTCTTATCAACATGGCCATTACCCAGAAAGACCCATTTGAGTGGGGATGATTGGATATATAGTCTAAAACATCTGGAAGATATCAGGTTGTGGAAGGTGAGTCAAAGCTGACAATCCCTCCCCATTGACCTTTGTTTTGCGCGGCTTTGCGATAAGGCTGTTTAATTTTGCATGGTTGCTTATTACACATTGTTTTTTCTACCCCCCCCCCCCACACCATGTATGCAGCTGTTACGTAAAAATAATTGTCTTATGCATACATGATCCATACCCAGTATGAAAATAGGTAAAAGGTAAAGATTTTCCCTGTCCAGTCACTTCCAACTTTAGGGAATGGTGCTCCTCTCCATTTCTTAGTTGAGAGAACCAGTGTTTTTCAAAGACATTTCCATAAGAATATATAGGTATGCAATTATATATATGAGAATATGCATTTAGATTTAGATTTAAAGTTTATTTATATGCCGCCCTTTTCCCTGGGGGGACTCAGGGCGGCTTACAACTTAAAAAAGGGGGGGGAGACAAACTTTTAAATCTAAATCTAAATGCATATTCTCATATATATAATTGCATACCTATATATTCTTATGGAAATGTCTT